TTGTGTCTGTCCTTTTTTTTTCCGTTCCATTTTCAGACACCTACTGCTGCTGCCGCTTCTTGTTATTATTATTCAGTTACGCGCTGTTTATACAGGCGAGATATTCATACATTCATGAATATATATAATGCACGTACTCGTATGCTCGTGGTATCTTCTTTTGGCGCTGGCCCAACTCACACGACGCTGGGCGAGAATTTGCATAAACACCAACTACAGCAATAATAACAACAACAGCAACAACAACAATAACTGAGGGGAAGCACACGAAAAGCATCCGCAGATAGCGCAACGCGACTTGGTTTACTTTTAAATTTGTATTATATGCATTTACACTCCCTAACACCCCACTTCAAAAAAAAAAAAAAAAAAAGAAGGAAAGAAACCCCTCATATGTATTTTTTTTCTGCCTTATACATGTTTATAAAATTGTCTAAATTCCCACAAGTTGATTTAAACTTTCTTCCTTCAGTGCTGTGTAAGCGCCACCAAAAGTTGAGCCTGTTCCCAGTTTTGTTAGTTGCCTTTACTTTCGTTGTAATAAGGGTATACTACAAATTTTAACAGACATTGTAACATACATATTTTAAGTTCCTGTTTAATAGGAAGGGCAGCTTTACTTGTATGCAATCCGACATATAATATACGGGTTTTTTTTTATTTTTGCGAAATACTCTTATGAACAATAATTTTATGAAAACTATTTCACAACAAATTAATTGTTTTTATTCGACTACTTCATTCAAATGTTAATTTGTGTAATTTGTGAAGTTCAATTTTGATTTTTGCTAAACTGTGCAGAGTAAATTCCTATTTTAAATTTAGTTTACAGGGTATGGCAAAATCGTTGCTTGTCGACTTTCCACTTCAGAAATTTCAGGCGCTTCTTTTCTGTGGGGAGTCGCCGCGAATCGGTTCGCCTTTGGCTGGTACCACGTCGCGTATACGTTATTCTTTTTACACAATTGTTATTATTGTTGTTGGAGCTGCTCAGCGGGTCTGTCAGCCCGACTCTTCCGAGCGTTGCCTGGCATGCAGAAATGTGTTTTTTCTTCTAATACACACGTGCATCATATATATACTAATATATACTATTTGTCTGGGGTATTGCAAAGCGACCACAGGAAATGCTAAAAATGCACTCAGGTATTGAGTGTGAGTGTGTGTGTGTGTGTGAATGCTGTGCTGTGTGGCTTGCTTATTTATGCAACTGTGCCAAAGGATTCGGTTTTGAGTTTGGGCAAAGCAAAATACGATAAGACCATGTTTTATGTAATGCTCTCTGTATCAGCGTATCGAATATATGAAATTGAAAGCGAAAATCCGATGAGATGAGCAACAATTGAGAAATTGTTGGGGACAATTGTGCCGAGAATAGGATAGCGAAGACTGTCAGTTGGAAATCACATGTGCATATGGACAGAACATTAGACACAAATGTATATCGTATGGAAAAAGCACATATATAAGCGATGGAAATCCGGAATAAATATAAAAAAATTGTTGAGCTGAGGCTTTCTATGAAAAACAAGTTGATAATTATATAGAAAGTTTGTTATTATTCTTATTTATTCAAAAAATATTCCAAGTCCATTGAATAACTTGCCAATTAATACCAAGGGTACTATGCATTTTACGTCTCTGCCATATATCAATACGCATCCTGACGGAGAAGAGGGAGCCTCCAGTAAAAACTTTATTAAAGAGCGTTCTTATCGTTCCCTTAAAGCTAATATTAAATGTACAATAGCTGTGATCTAACCATGCTTAGAGAACATTTTAATGCGTATATATGTATTAATTTTTATTTTATTTCATTTATGTAAAAATATCGTGTTGGTAGATTAACATGCCTTTCAGATCCAATTATATGAAATCATAAACAACTTTTAGGGCTAGATCTGGCACCGCTATTCCCTGCTTTAGGCAGCTAAAAATAGTCTTTGAGTATCTCCATTTAATGAATGTTTTAATTCATTAGACAATTAAAAAAAAGTGAGAGATAATTAGATGCTCGGTAGATAGAGAGTAATGGAGAGGAAAAAAGGAGAAAGACTTATTTCTCTTCTCATTTATAATCTATTTGTATTGTTCTTTATTATTATTTATCTACTTTACACCCATTGTTTAGTGCTTTTGGTGTTTACCCCGCCCCACACACACTTGAGTGAACTTTTACTATCTTTGCCCCACTTGCAAAATTAACATTCACTTATGCACTCACACACACGCACACACACCGGCGCACACTTACAATCCCACATACACTCACATTCATCGCCTTAACCAGCCAAACACTTGGCTCAAGTGTTTGCTCACTTTGCGGGCCGCAACCTCTTAACCTGCCCGCATCACCACCCCTCACACCACGCCCACCATTCAGCCCCGCAAATACCGCCTCACCTACGTTCTTTGGCCATCCCTTTTGCATTGCTCTCTGCTTGGCCTATGCTTAGTTAACGTTTTGGCCTGCGCCTCTATTTCGTGTTTTCACCATTTTTTTTCGTCTCTTCTTTATTTTTTTTTTTTTTTTTTGGTGTCGACCTAAGTCTGCTTGGCATATGTTTTCCACGTCCTTTCCCTGTGTTTGCCTTGTGTTCTTCTGTTTATTTTTTTTTTAGCACTTTTCTAGCACTCCCTTTATTTTTGCCCCCTCTTCACACTTTGTCTGGCGCCTTTCACTCACTCACTTTATTTGCGCTCATGCATCATAAGGGTTTAATGGATTTGCTGCAGCCTCAGGAGAAGCTCAGCCCGCTCCCCTGAGAGCGGGTCGAAGAGCTGTGCATCATTTTCCCGGTAGCGGCGCGCCCACAATTCACACGCCCACAGACACACACACCAACACACTCGCACACAATGATTATCATATTACGCACACCCCAAGCCATTCGCAGGCTCTGTTTCTGGTGTTTATGACTTTATTTTGGCCACCTAGTCGAGCAGTTAATACATTTTTATAGACTTGCCAAACTACTATTTCCCTTTCCGCTCTCCACACACTAACACACACACACACATACAAACACACACTCAGCAGCACTTTACAGGTCTGTCATTCTATTAGCTTTTCGCGTGCTTTGTCATTGCCGTTAATAGACTTACTTTTCCTCTTACACTTTTATAGAATGTTTCTTTACTTTTTTGTGCCTTGGCTTTCGTTTTGATGTTGATGTTCTTGTTGTTGTTGTTGTTGTTGTTGGCGCCATTAAGTCGTTATTGTTGTTGTTGTAATTGCTCAGCTGCGTGTGAGACTCAGGTGCGAGAGACGGCTATTAAAAAAAAAGTGAGCAACGCTGCGTATACGCAATACATAAATCAAATTGCGACTGCGACTAGTCAAAAGTCTATATAAAATAATATATGTCAAGGCGAGGGCTGTATTTTCGTTTTATGCGTTGATAAAAATAGAGCTGTATTTGGGGAATTGGAGATAGAAGAAAGAGAAGTACATTCCTTAAGAAATTTGTAAGCAGCGATAACAATTTACTTGACAAGGTTTAAGATTTTCTCACCAAATAAGTTTAAGAATTATTGTAATTAAAACAGCACGATACGTATTGTAATTATATGATAACAACTTAAATATAGACTGTACTCAGCCTGGAGTACAGAAAAAAATAAAATTTAAAGAAAAATGCATTTTGTTATATTATAAATTCCAGCAGGGTGGGCTAAAAGTGCATAAGCCCATTTATCATAAACATATAAATAGATAAATTAACTGATGCAGCATAAATTAAGCAGCAATAATTCAATACTTGAATAGTTACCCTAAATCCCATTTGGTCGTAATAAATTAAATTGCAACCTCTCACAAAATTGTTGTGGATTCGCATTATGCCGAGAGCTTTAATACAATTTCAATAGGCAAACCAAACTATTATGCAATAGCCAAAAAATGATTTTTCGAACATGTTGATTTTCCACTCCATTTTCTGCGCAATTTGCTTGTGTCAAAAATGTGCAGCAACTATTCATTTGCATTTGCAGCAGAGCAATCTTTTGGGCTCGGGGCATGCCAAGGCTTCGCCCGGTTTGAGCAGCAGCAGTCGAGTGCAGCAGCCAGAATCGCCCTCCAGAGCCAGCCATAATATATTTAGGAGCTCTAGTGCAAAGTATATGGTATAGTTTGTAGCTGTCTTTAGCACACATCAAAAGCATTATTAACAGGACTACAAGCACAGCGACAGCACACAGGGCGCAGGATAACAGAAAAGATGCCTGCAAGCAGGCTCAGTAAATCCAAAACATGTGTCCCTACTGGATGACAGTGTGTGAGCGTGTGTGTGTGTGTGTGCTTGTTGTGTGTGTGTGTGTGCGTGTGTATTTATGAGCCATGCCACACACTTACATTGCCAGCCACATCAACTGCTTTAGCCGTGCATTAAGTGGCTTTAGCTTGCCACACAAGGACATGCTTTTTGTGGTCTTTAAAAAATTTCGTTTTTTTTTCACATGCGTCCCCCTGCCCTGTGGCCCCTATTTAGTGCTTTACATTTAAGGTGTCTGCATGGAGCATAAAATGTATATAAGTCTAGCTGCCAGCCAAAAATAAAAAAAAAATAAAAAAAAAATTAATATTAAAAGCAATTACTGCAAGTCTTAAAAGACGAGAAAAAAAATGTAAATAGAATAAAGCTGAAAATTCTTAAATTCAGTCTCGCATATTTTCTTATGTTTCCAGCTCGTGAATTACACTGTGAGTGGCTAATCAGCTTATAAATAAGCAGAATACGAGAGAGCATAATTTGGAGACTAGAGAAAATACTGCTTTATTTTTAATTGAGAGCATTATCCGAGAAAGCAGCTATAACGTACGTGAAATTTGCCAAGGAATAAGCGTTCATACAATATTTAGTTTATGCGAAATCAAGCGAATATTTATTAAAGCAGATTGTTGTTAATTATGTAACATAATATTAAAAAGACATTACAAAATTGAAGTAGGCTCTGCTTTTTATTCATAATTTTCGGCCACATCTAAGTAAAAACCTCTCAACCTATTCCCAGTTGAGCTGTGCAGCTGGACCGAATCGGTACTGAACAAAATTCCAAAATTCTAAAAATTTCAATAAATTTTCGTGGCATTCATTTGGTTTAGACTCACACCAAAAATTCTTTTCGTAATTTAATGATTAAGTGCAAAGTTTTCTTTTCTACTTTTTTAAAAACAAGCAAAATCAAAAATATAGCTACTCAAACAGCCGAAAATTGTGAATGTAAGCAAAAATAAGAGTTAAATATTTCATTAAGTTTTCTCATAATCGAAAATGTAGACGTCAGCGGGAAAACGGCATCTATCTGCAACATTATCTACGGATTGTTGGGGGAGGAAGAAAATAAAATTCATTCGAACACTTCACGTAAATACATCAAATACACCAAGGAGAAGACCAGCAAATCGCACACAATCGAGTTGAAGAAATGCATCTATCGCTCAACATCGGAGATAGGAATGGCAAAAGCACTAAATTGGGTTAAATAAGTTTAAATCGGTAAATTGATATGCAACAAGGAAATATAAATAAGGACTTTAAATAAAAATAATAAAACAATTAAATATTTAAAAACGCACATGCAAAACATTCGGCTTGAAAGTTTATAGGCTATTAATTTCTATAGTTATTTGCTAACTCACTGAATTGACGATCAAACAATTTATATAATTAAAAGGAAGTTATATAAATCTGTGTTGCACCCTTGATATCAAATATATTATATACGATGTTATTTGATTTTGTTGGCCATCGGTTAATCAATATGGAAATTGAAACAGTCTAAATAAGTATTAACCATTCTAGTATTGGCAAAAATTAAAGATACGGAAAGTTCACAATTGTAGTAAAATGCAAATCGAAAGCTTGATATCTAAAATGTTATATATATATGTATACCATTTATGTTTATGTAATGTTAATTTGTAGGCCCCACATTTGTGTGACCCGACGAGAAATCTGAAATACATTTTCAATGGGAACAGCATAGAATGTTTTCCACTCTGAATAGCGGCTGCCTTTGCTCTGGTTTTTGAGGTTGCGTAAAAGTGAAGTCCCGAAAATTGGGTTAACGAAGGAAATGCGTCTGAAATTGAAATCTGGCGGCGTGGAATGTGGGTTACACACACACACACACACAAACATCCAGACGCTTAAGAGTATGCAACGATTGCTGCGAATCAATTCAAACCCTCTCACAATTAGTGCGATGTCTGAGAAATGCTGCGTGCAATGCGTTTTTTTTTCTGGCAGACAGCCTGGCAACACCTTGACAACTTTATAGTTGTCAAGTCAACTAGTTGTTGCTGCTGTTGTTGTTTGTAGTTGCTTTAGTTGTTGTGCAGTCAGTTGAAACTGTCGCAGGTGCTCGTTAGTTTTGCTTCGGCACTTTTGGCCTGATCCTCAAGTGTCGCCGAGTCCTGTCACATCCTCAACGCCAGCTTTGTCGGCGACTTTTCAAAGTTCTGCAACGTCGCCAAGTTTTGTTTTGGGCGCGGGGTGAAAGTGTGTGTATGGGGGGGTAAGCGAGTGTAGTTTGGGTTTGCATTCAAATTAAATAGCATTTTGATGAATATTGATTGATTGCTTGTGCCTCGCCTCGAGGCAAATTAAAAGCAATTGGCGCTATGGCAAATCGAAAAACTTTGCCCAAAAACTTTGGCCTTGTAATTGAGATAGTCGAATTGCAGTTGCAGTTGCAGTTCCAATTCCAGTTCAATTTCAAATAAATTTCGCAAGAAATGCTGAAAATTTGTTAATCAACAGTTGTTTGTAGCATTCGAGAAAGTTTAATTTGGTAAAAGAAATTTTAAAATGTGCTTATAAATGCATGAGCTTTGACTTTTAGAGTTGTATGAAGAAAAAAGGGTAATAAACGAATTTGAAGCTGTGCACTTCGAAAATGGAATTTTTGTTGTCTTCTTACCTATGATCCAAATATTGGAAAGCTGTACAGAAAGCAGGTGAAACTATATCGAAACAGAAACATATATTTTTCTAAAATGGATTGCATCAAGAAGCTACTTTTTAGACTCCTTGCATATAATATCGATTTATATTCTTTCCATTTACATATTCTTTCATATATAATTTTCTATTAAATGTAACCGAATAACAATTGATTTTTTTGGTACTACAAACCGGTCTCCATTGTTATTGATTCATATTCAATTCGAGATTAACCAACTTTCGCAGATATTTAAATCTAAAAAGTATGATATTCTTGTGGAATTTGCAGTAACCTTTAAAATAATTCAGTATTAAGTAGCAGACAGCTCGGTCGAGGACATTACGCAACAGAGGGCTTGGGGTTGCGAGAATAGCGTCGCGCTTGGGGGAAGGAGAATTGTTATTGCAGTGCGAGTTGCAACCGGAAATGAGTAAACAAGCGTCAAATAGTAAAAACACAAGCAGTGTGCGGGGCTGGCAAGTGGGCGCCAGGACAACGAGTGTCCTGCTGCAGTCCTTACGAAAATATAAATAAATGAAACATTAAACAAAACTGCGACGACAACAATGGACAAAGCCCTTGTCGAGCGAGTGCTCCAGGACGTGGAGTATTGGAGTGTGGCGCGTGCATAAGGACGCGAACGCGGATGCGGACGCGGACGCGGACGCCACGGCAAAGATGGCGAAAAATGAGCGAAGACAACAACCGGATATCCGGCAACTTTATAAGCAGCCAGCAGGCAGCGCCACAAAGGACAACCAGACTCCAGCGACCAACGCCGATGCCGATGCCGATGCCGCCGCCAACGACAACGTAGTTTATTTTAACTTTTGATTTCCGCCTTTTTGGTATGCTGAGTATTTTCTTTAGCTCAACCCTCCACGCCCGACTCCGCCCGCCTCTCTGACTCAGCTCAGTAACCTGGTCAGCTGCATGGCAATGCAGCAAGCGCTACTTCGCCGAGTCCTCGAGCACATCTTCAAGATGAAGAAGAATGCCGGGCGCCTGCATTAAAAATGAATTAAACTTGCGTTTCTCAAGCTCCCATCTGCCAGTTCCTGTGTCCTTTCCCAGGAGCTGACTGCGATATTCAACAAGAGTTTCCAGCCAGCACGCAATTCAATTTACACCGCCCCAAAGACAATTTCCCAAATGTCGGTGCCATGTTCTGGGAGTGAGATACACATACACATGTAAGTATATATACAAAGATACATATTTGTGTAGAAATGAATACAAAGACTTTCATAGAGGAGAATTAGCTTACAGCAATCTTCTTCAAACTTCCGCATTAAATTAAATACAATTAAATTAATTATTATAATTCATATATCTGTATTAATATGCAATCAGAGTAGGCTTCGCATTCGACTCAAATCATTTTTTTATGTGATATCTCAACACAAAGCTTCGTATTTTGCTCAGTACACTCTTTAGATTCTTACAAACAACATCAAAAAAACTAAAAACTGAAAACCGAAACAAAAAAAATAAACATTACTCGTCGACACAAAGAGGTCCTTATTTTAAGCAAACAGTGTAACTTTTTATAATTTTGTAGAAAAGTTATAAAGCGAAAAAAACTTAATAAAACTAAAACCAAAAAAAAAAAAAATAAATTTCCAAAAATCAAAACCAATAAATAACAGGAACTAAAACTACAAAAAAACTATAAAACGAAACAAAAAAAAAAATAAAAAATATTCTCCAATTTGATTTGGAGATACTGTTGATATTGATATCGGCATGGATATACCTGGCTTTACCTAAACATAACTGGATATAACTCGGACTGTAAGTAGACCCTCCTTTTAAAGCAGGAAGGCTCTCGGTTAAATAATTTCTATTTGCAGTGACAAAGAGATGTATATATATATATATAACGAAATATATATAATCAATTATAGACCTGGATTCTAATTAGGATGACTGCGAGTTGGTTGCTTATCTTCAGTGATCCATGATCCATGATCTTATTTATACAGTGATCCATGCGAGCTTGTTCTTGCCTACGAACGCCTGGGGGGTCTTCTCTCATATCTTAAATCCTGGGCTTCACGATATGGTACACTGTCATCTGATTCACTTGTTCACGCTCAGTGGCTTCTTTCGAAAATTGCACTGGAATAGTTTCGTACGACTATCTGGGAGAAATTTGTTGTTTATCTGTTCGGATGGTGGAGTTGTTGTAAATTCTGGTTTATCAATACAGTAATTCTCTTTGGCAATAAATATACAAAACAAATGGTTGGCCTTGGGAGGGTATCCGCACATTAATGCACTGCTGCATTCCTGGGGAAGGGAGACTGTCTAGGAATCTGTATTTGTATACACTGTAGAACAAGAGATATATTATAAAACTGCAATACAAAGAAAATGAATAAAATTCTGCTCGATGTCATAAGCTCGGAATACAAATCTGTATGAAACTCGTGATTCTTGGAGAGAAATGGATCGGCTTAAATAGGGCGTGCCTGATATTTAATTAGTTGAAATCGAGCTGCTATTCGACATATATCGCTTTATAATGCCGTGATGTAATAGACATCAGATTACGATATAGCTACATCGGAAGAATTGAAAATGTTTTATTTGACAAGATACCAAAATCTTGCAATAACATGCTACACTATTTTTACTCGTAATAGCTGAAGCCATATATCTGCGAGTTTAATATTCGGTTAGCCACAGATAGCTATATATTTCATAGACAATTTAAACCAACTCTGCACACAAAAAGCCTGCCATGCGACAGTTTACCCAAGACTTTCAAGTCTCTGGATATATGTTTAGAAATATGTCATTGTATAGCCAAGCAGAAAGGTAACACAGTTAAACATAACAGGACTTTACAAAATATACACATTTGTATGTGCAGAATGCATTTAAAAACAAAATCGCCTATCTCTATCCGTTCGGTTTTCCTGGACATCGATGATGAACAAGATGAAAGCGACGACCTCTTCATTGACTTCAAGCAACACCAATTCGGGCAAGTTCAGCGACAATTGAAATTTCGCATAGTCTGTCATATATTCTCATGACTGGTGCGTAGCCCTCAGCTGCAGTTGCTCGATTACAAACAGTTCAAGGCGGCACGCACAATTCAAAGGCATTTTCGGGGCTGGCGCGTCCGTCAATCAATGAAGATAAGGCAGCATGCGGCAACTGTTCTGCAGAGATCGTGGCGTTTATATATTAGCAAGCGGCATCTGATCAGCACCTGCCAGGAGCGCGTACAGAAAAATATACTGATCATGTTTAACAATGCCTCGTTGAAGATACAGGCATTCTTTCGGGGCTGGTGGGTACGCAAGCATATCAATAATGTGTTCCTTTTGAAAGAAATGCAGCTTCATTCCTTGGAGGATCTATTGACCGGGTATGCGTACAAGCTGCACACCATGATGCGCACCCAACATTTACCAGGACTTATGAGCTTTTGTAGAAATCCGTAAGTGTCTTGTCAAAATTTATCTATCAGCTGCTAGTGAAAAGCCACTATTATCGATACATTTTAATCGATTATCGCCAATCAGTTGCAATCTATGGATTATATTCTGACGATAGTCGGTCATCAGTTTACGTATATCTTCTTTATTCGTATTGGCCATGATATATAAGCTTTTATATATATATATATCCGTAAGTGTCTTATCGATGACTGATTTATCGCTATTGAGCTGTCGATAGTTATTTATTAGTTTGCTACTAATATCGATAAATTTTAATCGATTTTCGCTTGTCAATGACAATCTGTCGATTATATGCTGACTATTATCTTTTGTTTATTCTTCTTTTTTCAACTCTTCCAGAGATATGCAAAGAATGGAGGACCTTATAGCATGTATGTCTTATCGATTTTACAATCAACTTGTGGGCCCCAAATTTTTGTCTACAAGGGCTATCTTAGAAATGCACCGTCGCAAGTTTGCAGATTCCGCATTTCTGACTTGGGTACCATATGCAGGCTTCGATCACATTGACGACTGCTATTCGCCGCCATCGGAAAAGCAGTCCAAGATCTATGACCAACGTGAATACGATATCATACAGATCTTTTTGCCGTCGGATCACTTAACTGAGAATAAAAAGAAAATGCAATGGGACAAAGAGAAAAGTGAGTAAATTTGAAATGGGAATATCTCTACTAGGCTGTTGCCATATAATTAATTTATTGTTTTTTTTTTTTTTTTCTATTGCCATCATCCAGGTATACGCAGGAAGTCGCATACTCTTTGCGATAAAACAAGGCGTTTTTGTAAGGATCTTGTGTTGAGCATGAAATATTGGCCTATGTGTAATGCATGCAAGATAAAAGTAACGGATCGCTTATTGGGACCCGCCCTTGGTGAATTCCTCGATAATGTTAAAGCTTCCTTGGAGGCCATACACCAAGTGGCCAACTGTAATTGCCAGCGTGATACGAGACATGAGGGTTACTTTCAACCGTGTGAATAATTTGCGAGTTCACACAGCTTATTATTTTCTTTTTTTCATATAAAACGGGCACAAAATTATAAAAATAATTTGCATATCAATCGACTAAAGATAAGAGTTTATATATAAAAATAACCTTTATGTATATTATCATTTGCCTTAAGCTGAATTATCCACAGAAGTTCCAAAGGCAAGCTTAAAAAACTTGCTGTATGCAAAACATTTGAATGTAGCCTGCTCAAGATCGATGTAAAACTACAAAAGGACGCGTTTTGCTCTTTTAAGTACAATTTGTTACATGGCTGAAGTGAACGATTTTTCAAAGTTATGCATAAGAGCGTGATACACGCATGATAGAAAATCTAGGGCCAAGGTAGAACTGCATCAAAAAAAGTGTTGTATAACGCCATTTTATTTTTTATTTTCGGCTTGAGAGTAAAACAAGTTGCATTCTCAAATCAAATATCAAAACTGTGGATAAAAACTCATGTTGGGCTCAATTTCGATTTGATAGAAGGATACTTTACGCAACAAGCCTGTGATTCGAAACCTAAGCCTTGTTATTTAGTTTAATCACTTATTTAAGTAACTCATTTCGCTTGAAGCGTTATTTGTTTATATATTTGAAATCGAAACCTAGGGCAACTTTTGACTTAGACAATCTCCCCGGTTCTCTCAGCTCGCATAATCAACCCACACACACACCCACACACACAACGACGCACACTCACATAATGAGCTCAATCAATATTGGCAACAAATTAAATTTAATGATGTTTGTTGCTTGCAGCCAAAGTCAAGTAGAAGCAAGTATAAAAGAGCTACGAAATTGGCAACTCTGGTAAATATTTACCGACTGACGCTAATGAACTTGAGCATACAAATAGGCAACACACACACACACACAGACACACACACAGGCACACGCTAGAAATACAGTAACTGCCTTTAGAAACCAAAATATGTTCTCAGCAGAATCTGCTCCAAAGAAAAGTCAAGTCGAAATGCTTCTTTGATTAAAGAGTCTTGCACAAAAATTTGCTCACTTACAGATTTCGCTCATGTCGTAGTTTTCTTTCATTTTCTTCTACTGGCTTTTTCTTGCACAGTGAAATGGACGAGAGAAACGTGTTTACACAAAGAATTTTTCGCTATTGATTGTGTGATTGCGATGCCTGTGTGCGTGTGCGTATGCGTGTGTGTGTGTGTGTGTGTGTGTATTTGCACATATGCCAGGACATTGCCGAAGAAGCACGTTTGGTTATCCATTGTGGGCACACAAAAGTCAATAGCACTTTGATTTTTCTTCCCCATTTATACACTAGCTGAGGGTATCTTAAGTTCGCCATGAGACATAAAGTGCATTGCCAAGAGTTTATCTCATATATCCAGCCGTATTCGGTGGGGTAGAATAGGGGCTAGCCGTAACGTTAAGAGATTGCATACTTTTAAAGACACTCTCTGTTTTTAGTAATTTTATTACTCATCAATCATTATTCCCATTATTCCCAATGTTGATGGTTATCGACAATGGAGTTTCAAGGGCATTTCAACTTCGCCCATTTGAAAGCCATTTTTTCGCGTCTCCCATTTCTGGGTGCAGTGATTCACCGTCAAGTTGAGCTCTGAGTAGGCTACTTGTCGAAATTCGAAGAGAAGTTATCTCTGAACCAGTCTGCTCTTTTATGCTTGAAGTGCGCCTATTTCTATAGCAAGCTTGGCAATCGAAACGCATAAAATATACATGGATCGAGCTGAAAGTATTCAGTTTGCATTTGTGCATAGCTCATGCAGGGGCTAAAAACATATGTGAAGGCTAAAAAACTGAACAAAACAAATTATAAAACATGGAAAAATAGTAGAGAAATCGAAAACCTTAAAAGAGCAATAAATTCTATATCACGAGAAATATTATGTGAAAATTATAAAACTAAAACAAGAACCATTTAGTTAAGTTAAAAGTGAAAGCCATTTTAATGTTGATATTCTAATGTACATTTGCTTAAAAGTAAGCAATTGAGAACTCTGCGCGGATTGATGTACTGGCATGCTAAAAAAAGGAAATGCATTTGATAGATATGTGAGTAAAATGTATCTAAAGAAACCTATAAATATGTTTCTTCTATTCCAACAAAATCCACGTCTTTGTTTAACTTCAAGACGTTTAGCTGGGCAACTGAAAAATTCTGAGAGGATTTATATTGCGTAAAAAGAACGTTTTTATACTAGCAAAAATGTCTGTCTGAAATTAGCACTGCTCTAATGAGCTCTAATCTAAGCAAAATCAACAAATGTAATTTCTCCTGCATATTCAATTGCCATCAGCACAAGCCCATTTCCGAATTTTCGCTCTTTTGCTCAGATTCCTTAGTTATGTTAATGAGTACAGAACTGATTTATCTATTTACTAATAATTATCTTTGACTTCAGCTCGTGCCATACCGCAACAAGTTAAGATTCTCAAACGATCAGACAAATCGTAAGGAATATTTTTAATATAAAGTCGGATTGTGCACTTTTTAAAGATCTTTAAATCCATTTTAGGCATAAATATGCCAGTCATACGGAGAGAGAGAGAGAGCGAGCGAGTGTTGTGTATAGTGTTGTAGTGTTGTACAACAGCATTAAATAGAAACAGAATTAACCCAAATATGCAAATAAATTTACCAGCAAAGCGAACAACAGCAACAAAGCTGCACATTAACTTCCGCAGCTCATTAAGTCGCTGTCAGCTGCGGAGAGAGAGAGAGAGACAGAGATAGAGAACGCAGCCGAAAAGAAAGGGAAAACAGGAGAGCGGGCGCCTGCTGTAAATACTCGTATATACAAATTTATGCGACGCCAACTGGACGACAGCACACACGCACACACACACACACATACACACACACACATACACACACACACATACACACACACACATACACACACACACATACACAGCTGCAAATCACAGGCTTGCCAGACAGCAGAAAGTTCGCCGATTCTCACAACAAATAAAACATTTGGCCCCCATGTAAATTATGAGGGCCACGCAACAAACCCAAACCAAAAGCAAGCAATACGTAAATTAGCACCATAAAAAATAAAAAAAAGATATATAAATATGTATATATATATGTATGTATGTATGAAAAGTGCGCCAGAGGTCAACTGTGGGTGAGCATCAGGGATGCTACCGCTGACCCGCCCCGTCCCGCCTTGTACCACCCCTCCTCGAGCCAAGAAAAGGCTAAGGAAAATGTCGACACATTTAATGAAAATAACAGCAATTTTTTCATTTCTCTGAGCGTTGGCCCTACTAAAAAATGATGTAAGCCCTTTCTAGTCGACTTGAAAGACACTCTACACTGAACTTCGAGCTGCCTTGGGCATACACAATTGTGAGGTCTGAAACTCATTTAAGAGCCATTTTGTATTTATCGTTCACTTATTTTGAAATTTTCTGAGACTACAAAATTTTGAGGCAAACTTCACAGAATTAACATTCTAAATTTAGATATGCCGCGTTTGTATAGTTACAGGGTATTTTTAAAGAAAAGAAACAAAAAACCAGTGCACATCCTTGGCCTCCAGTTTAATTAGGCCGTCTGCTGCTTTTGTGGCCTATATAGGAAAAAATGCCTCAAAAATTGTTCGTTTAATGCTGGGCTGGGCTGGCCCCGCGTCCCGGTCGAAGGTCAGTTTTGTTGTTATGGGTCGCGTTACGGGTCTGGGTGTGGCCAAACTAATTAGTGGCCATTTTGTGGGCGTTGCTGTTTAATGAAATTTTAATAGGACTTTAATTGAAATGCAGCTTGAGCCCCAAAATTGTGACGATTGCTGAGCCAACAAAATAGTTAGAGCACAAATTGATACTTGGTCAATGGATGAATAACAAGTTATGAGCTTGGCCCAATATCAAGAATAAGGTGATTGTTAAAGAACTTTTGGATAGAATCTGATTTGAAAACATTAACTAAACATTTTAGGCAAAGTGGGTTAACTCCACTATCAACTCATATGTTTGCCAATCCCACCTTACTTGAAAGAGATTCTGATAGAACGTTTTAAGGGGGAAAACTCATCAATAATATTTAACAAACATTTTATAGTAATTGAAAAGTTGTATTTAAAATTTTGAGTGGGAGTGAGTGTCCTTAGACATGACATGACATCTATTTGTTTTCAAATAGAATATTTTTCATTTACGCCCCAGGCAGCCAGTTTCAGGAAGAGAATTTAATTAAATAAGTAGTTTTTATCAGGACGTTTCAATTGCACGTATTTTATTTGGCAATGATAATAAGAGGAATTTCGCTAAACAAGGATAACAAAATAAAGAGCTAATTATAAAATGTGTGTAAAGGATGCGAAATAAATTTAAATATATTTGACAAGCGCTGACTGCGAATAGTTTTTAATGGAAGAATGAATTAGACATGCGCCTAATTAAGTTAATGCCCAAGTTTAAAATTAGTATTTACATAAACTTATAAATCACTTTCATGTAAATTCAAGAGCGGCCCAATAATGCAAATATAATTTTAAAATAAATATATATATTTATATAGTATATAACTTACCTGCCTGTTAGTTTAAGCTCGAATAGTTGCAGCAATTAAAATCGAATTCTCACATTTGACAAACGAACGAATTGTTTCAAGCAGTCAAATATTGTGAATGACTTTGCTGCAGAGTTGCAATTCATTTAATTAACCGTTCTTCTTGCACATTCCTTGTGGCTGCCTTAAGCCACACGTTCGCACCACGCACACACACTCGCATACGTCTTACACACACACACACACACACACACATACACGACAATAATTAAACACACGCGCCACGTAATGACAAACAGAAGGTTACAAAATGACTGACGACGGGCGACGCTTAACGAAACGTCGAACGAGCAGCTGCCGAAATTTATGAAAAATGCAACTGAAGAAGAAGCAGCAGCAGCAGCCGCCTGTGCCTTACGTTCGGTATTCAGTTGCCGTTAGTTTCGCACAGTTATTCTTGTTGTTTTGCTTACTTTTGCGTGTTATTTTGTTGTTGTTTTTGTTGGTTTGCCACGGCGACGGCTTCGTGTGCGCTGCTTTTGCCCGCTTGGGGCAGAGATCCACTTCGTAGCGCGTTATCAATGGAACTGC